CTAAAAGCTAAGACATTGTCATATAACTTAGCTTCAGCTAATTTAATACTTTCTCCCTGTATTTTTACTTTTTAAGGAATGATCCAAAAGCATAGGACAATGGAGAGTTGACAGCACTGCAGCAGAATGACAGGATGATGTGTAGCTAGTAATAATGAACAAATGGAAGCACCCTGAGCAAACTGATTCTCAGGTGTAGTCTTGGCTCTGCATTGCCTCTCATTACTACTCATTTCTCCAGCCCAGTTACTACAGCTTTCTGAATATTCTGTGAGCTTCATGGATAAACCTCCAACAAATTCTATCACTGACTACATTTAGAGTTAGCTTCTGTTGTTTGCAGGTAAGAACTCTAGATGCAAAATAATGTATAATTTTCCAAATTTTATGCTTTAATTATTTTATGAAAGAAGTTACAACTAATGAGCTACTCATCAACACACAACTGGGAAACTACCACAAGCGTATTATAATCCCTCTAACTGAGACTGTTGCTACCTCCTGGGCCTACTATATAAATTTAAAGAGTTTTGAGAGATATTCCACTATGAAGTTATGATGCATTACTTAGTTTTATTCTAATTATATTTGTATTAAACATCTAAATATAGTGCTCCCTCTACTTTTTATCCACCTCTTCTTTGTACTAATCCTCAATTTGTCTCTATTATGGTATCTATGAAGTAATTATATTTACCTCTCAAAACTGCTATGAGGATTAAATGATTATATTTAAAACATATTTAAAACTTTAAACATGATAAAAGTATATTTCAGTAAAATAATGTAGTAACAATAAAGTCATTATGTTATTTTTATAGAGTAATAACTATATATAAATTTACTGTACCATTACATACAATAACATGTTCTATTAATATTACTATATATGTGAAAATAAGAATTCCATTAGAATGTAATCATGTTACAGAACAAACAAGGGGGGCCTAGGCAATATACTATTACCAAAAGAAAACCCCAGGTCCATTATGTCCACTGCCTATAGGAAAGATGTCTCTCAATGCCAGAGATTCGTGAAAAGGAAAGGAAATGTTTATTTAATGCTGTACAGACTTAAAGTAGTGACCTAATGTCTTCATTAAAATCCTAAAATCTCTTAAAACACCCACAATCATATATAGTCCTTCCTTCCCCCTTTGCCCAGTCTGGGGTACCGTATCTCAGGAAAAGAAATAGAAGTCCATGGCTCAGGCAGCTCCTGGTTCTTCCCAGTAATCTGTCTTGGATGGGAGACCTCCCTGGGTTCCCAGCACCCTCATCTGTGTCTCCAGGATCTCTGCTAAAGCTGGGTGGTGGTTCCCCCTTCTAAAGCTATGGGGGTCCCTACTCTGGCAAAGACATGTGGTCCTCTCTCCACCACTCCAGCCGCATGGTCCTCTCTCCCCCAGGGCCATGGGAGTCCCCACTCTGCCAAAGCCACGTGGTTCTCCCTCCAATGGCTGCCGAGTCTGGATTTAAATCCCCATACCAATCTTCCTCTGCAGCCCCATTTCTGACTCTTCCCACACTCAGCCACACTTGCCCTCAGTCTCCTGTCCTTTCTAGCTTTTCTGGCTGTCATCATGAGTCTGGGCAGGTGTGGCCCCATGTCCTGGAGCCAATCTTCTCCAAGCTCCCACGCAGGTGCTGTAATTCGGGGGACCTGCCCCCCAGTTACTTCTTGGTGTGGAAGTTACTTCCATTCCCCTGGCTCAGAGCATGGCCACAGCTATTTAACATATCTATGTAACCAGTCAAAGGTTACAGATATGTTAAATGACCAGGCCAGAGGTTAGCTGCAAAGCTATTGCTGTACAAAACAGCTCTCAATGGCTCTGCTCCATTTGTCCTTTCCCCCAACCCACACCTGTAGGGCGGAGCGGTGAGGACAGCCTAATATCTCCTGGACACCTTAAGTTCTGGACCCCATTTCAAATTTGGGGTCCCCCCTCTTGGCTGCACCCCGTAACAATCAGGCAGTGATTTTGAATACTTTGGTCACTTTGTGGCTTCAGGATCTAGAAAGTACTTAACTCAGAGTAGGCACTCACTAATTTTTTATTATTTTACTTTATTTTATTTTACTTTATTATTTCATTATTTTATTTTTATTTTATTTTAGTTCATTTTTTTAAACTCTCACATGAGCATGTGTTCATTGACTTTAGAGGAAGTAGGAACACAGATGTGAGACTGAAACATCAACCAGCTGCCTCCCGTTAAGTGCCCCCACTGGAAATGGAACCCACTACCGAGGCACATGCCCTGACCAGGGATGGAACCCACGACCATTTAGTGAACTGGACAATGCTCCAACCAACTGAGCAACCCAACCAGAACTCAATAAGTATGTCTGAAATGAACTAATCAAAAATTAATACTTGTATATCCCACCCTATAACATGCCTATGAGATAGTCAAGGTACATTTGTATAATTTTATAATTTGTACATGACATTTTCACAAAGGAATACTATTTCCCTTGGAGCATAGAAAATGTTAGCAGGATAATAAGAATGCTTTATTTATTTCTAGTAGGTAAGATACAGCCTTGAGTTCTGTATCTATAATATTGTTATAACCTTAGATAAGTTATTTATATAATTGTTTACATGATTAATAGTCACACAAATTCAGCAGTTTAAGTAAACAAATTGCAAGCAAGGTGCAAAACATATGGGCATGGGAGACGTTTGTCATGGTTAGTAATAGACATAAGAGGACTAATCACTTGGACCTTTAGGTTGTGGGAATCCATAGGCACCTCAGGACAGCTTTGTATGTTTCTCAGTTCTTTCTGGTTTTGCTTTCCCATAGATGAATCTAGAAATATTTGTCTGATTCTAGCTTCTACAATCCCTCCATTTATCCATGTACTTATCTCTTAAGTAAATAGAGATACAGAGTATGCAGCACAGCTGGAGATACAATTACACAGGAAACTCAAATACAATGCACTACGGTAAGTGCTTGTGACAGTAAAAGTATGTAATGCACATCAAAGGGGCAAATATCTGTCATTTTCCCTTAGCAAACTGGGAGCAATTGAAGGATTTTAAGTTGGTGAATACAATTAGATTTATATTTTGAAAGGATTACTCTGTGGGTACCATGGTAAGTGTAATTGCAAGGGAGCAAGAAATCCAAGGAAAATGTTTCCCATGGAGTCAAATAATGCAGAAAACACAAGACATAACAACAACAAAGGTGATATTAAAAAAATAGCTAATGAGAATGTAATATGCATATTTGCCAGGTGTTGTGTGCTCTATATTCACGATCTCAATTCCTGCATGCAAACAGTGAAATACTACTAGTAGTTCCAGCCCTCTACCATTTAACATATGAAGAAACTCAGGCTCAGAGTAGTTAAGTAATGCCTAATGCAATAGCATTTTAGAGAGAAATAATTCAAATTTGTCTGTCTTGAACTACTCTGATATATTTTTATTACTGACATCTCTGCCCACAAATCTCATACAAATTCTGTTCATGCATGCTGAATTTTCAGATATTGTTTCCACACTCAAGGTTTTTTATCTCACGTAACATGCATATCACAGAAAATCTTGACTCTAAGAGTGAAAAACTCAATCCTAGGAGCATAAACTGAAGACAAGTCCCTTTAATTAGATGTTTATTTCTTACAAAATTCACTCTGAATTCAAAGAAACATATGAGACAGAAAAAATATTTTAAACAAATATACACCTATCAGCAGCTGCTGGGACCTCTTCCACATCTTTTTTAAAGATTTTATTTACTTAGTTTTTAGAAAGGGGAAGTGAGGGAGAAAGAGAGGGAGAAAAACATCAATGTGCAGTTGCCTCTCATGTGCTCCCTTCTGGGGACCTGGCCCGCAACCCAAGCGTGTGCTCTGACTGGGAATCAAACCGGCAACCCTTTAGTTCACAGGCTGGCACTCAGTCTACTGAGCCACACCAGCCAGGGCCAAGTCTTTTATTCCTAATAATTGTGTTTGTCCCCACTTGTGAATCCACTTTCTCTCACACTTTGACCTTGGCTTAAAAAGTATATATGGAACCTCTTCTTCAAAAGTTGCAGGCACTATATTATGGTCAGTCTGGCTCCTTGGCCCTCATCCTTATCTCCCTTCACCAGGGCTACCACCATCTATGATTTAGCCACACAGGCTAATTCATGAGAACATTCTCTCTGCCTCCCATGGAATGCTGAATATCATTCCAGTGAAACTTCCTAGTCTGAATTTCTCGGAGAATGTCCATTGCCCAGCTCTAGATCTATTTTAATCTTAACTATATTTCAGGGCCAAATTTCATTCCTATTTTCTGAGCTCTATCATTTAGCATCTAAAAATAAGCTATATATAAATGTTAATTTACTTTTTCACATATTTGATGTTTGGCATGACTAATATACGTAAACTGATGACAGGGTATCCTGTCTTGCCTCACCAAGTTCAGTGTTCAGAGATTCTGCCAAGAAAAGTGTTTCTCTATTTGCAAATATCAACTATTGGAAAGAAATGCAAGGAACTTAAGAAAATGAAAGGAATGTGAGAGAAAAAGAAATTTAACCAAAAATAATGTACATGGATATGGTAGTAGATGTTTCACAAAAATTATCTTTATATCCAAACAAAATATGAAATCCTCATACTTCTTTCATGGCTTTCTTTTTCATCTCATTACATGAGAGAAATTCAATATATGTTTCTGACTGGTGTTTATAAATTTAATAGAAAAACTATCATAATTACTCCAACAGTGATTAACGAAAACTCTATTAGTTATATATGATCAATTTAAAAGGAAAAAAATAAAAGCAATGTTTTTATTACACCAACTATTATAAGATATTACTACAGAGTCTGGTGTTTTCCTTAAAACTAGTTCAAATCATCTACAATATACCATTTTGAAAGGGATGGCAAAAATGTATATTATTGGAGAAATGTTTATCACTCATTTTCCTATTATCTTATGTAATATTAAAATAGTAAAGAAAATGAAACATACCTGAGATATTTTCTAACTAGGAAACCACGTATCCATCTTTGAATAATCAAAACTGGTGAATTATGAGCCATAATTCTATTAATTTTAGAAATGATGTATTTGATATTATTAATTTCATCCATATAGGTTGATCCCTGTATATAGAAAATGTGTGATATTTATATTTCATGAAAGTATTTCTAAGTACATTTTAACTTGAAAGTCTAATAGTAAAAACTACTAAAACATTCATAGCTGCCTTAAAGGCATAGCAGTTACATAATATACATTTTCATATATATTTGATTAGAACAGAAAATCAAGAATTAGCAGCACCAAATAATTTCAATTTTCTTATAAAATGCAAGATCCAAAATGATATTTTCCATTCTAGAGTCTTATCCAAATTTGGTATCATAGATATAAATTTTAACCATAGTCATGATGATCTCTGAAAAGCAGTGACATGAATTAGGTATCCAAAGAATCTCAAAGTATTCTGTAGATCCCCATCAAGAAAACCTATATGTTGTATTCATACAATAAAGTAGTTCAAAAGTTTGTTGCATCTTAAGTACAATGTTGGACACTTAGTGGGACACAGCACATTCCCCTGAGAAAAGATATTCTCTATTGCCTTTAAATAAATTATCTCTAAGATCTCTGTTCCTGCAAATGTTTAGATTTGGAAACATTGACTCCCTATATCACACTGTTCATTTGACAGATTAGTAAAAAAGCTACTTTAGTTATGTTTTGAATGTAAGGATTATACCTTAAAAACCTGAAATTTGCATTGTTTAAAGCACAGGAGGCAAACACAAGCCCCCTAGGCCAAATCCGGCCCTCCACCTTGTTTTATCCAGCCAGTTACCTTGTTTGTACCCGGTGGCAGCACTCCCTTGCCCCTAGTTAAGGAGTAGTTACGTTTATACAGTCCTAAAATTACATTTGGCCTTTGAAGGTAAGCAGGAGGCTGATGTGGCCCAAGGTAAAAATGAATTTGGCACCCCTGGTAAAGACATCTACCCTGAAAATTACCAAACCATCATGTTAAAAAACACTCCCCTTTCCTGCCCATACTCTCAATGAACTATATACTGCTAGGGAAAAAAATCACGATGTCTTGCAGGTTAGTGCTACTTCATGTCACCCCAAAACATAATTGTAGGAGTTCAAGAAATGCTACCCCAAAATATGCTTCTTTGGTATTTTAATTATTTTGAGTGGTAGACACTTGGAAAAAAGGAAAGCAGGGATGGGATTTCTCTGAACTACCCTTATCTACATAAAGACAGATCTTCCAAAAGGTATTCAAAATAAATAAAAACCAGGGAAGATGGTTCTTATTAAAGAAGGATAAATTAGAAGATTAGGAGAAGAGTTTAGCAGAGACCACCACACCCAGGTAAATTTTGTCACTAACTCCCATCTATTCTTCTAAAGGACAATAATTCATCTTTCCTAAAAATCATTTACTCTCCTAAGAAGTCTACACACCCCCTTCCCTTTCTTTGAGCATGAATTCAAAGATACTTCAGGAGTTATTCATTTTTCCCTGGGTATCTCCTATGTACACATGAGGTAGAAATTGATAAATTTGTTTTTCTTTTGTTCATGTCTTTTATCACAGGAGTCTCAGTCAATAACTCAGAAGGGAAGAGAGAAAATTGTTTCTCCTCCCCTATACTAGCTTGGAAGTAGGGAGTTGAGTGTGTAGAGAACACAGCGGCAGGGAGCTTAGGTGACTGGGCATAAGAGCCCTTGTCAAATGCTGCAGGTCTCAATGGCAGAGAACCATTACATTCATAGTGCAGTAAAAGCACAGAGTCCTGCTTCCCACCATGACATGAAGCATTCCTTTTCTTTAAAAAGATAAACAAAATAATCTTCACCTGTTGGCAGGGTTAGTGTCCCTGCCAGAGAACAAGTAACCTCTAGACACACCCCAGCTTTCTGATGCCCTAACACAATTATTTTGTGAAATGTCAATAAAACTATTACGGTAAACTTGAACAAATGCCATGATATTTGAAATTTGAAGACAAATAGAAATTTCCTCTTTCTAAAGGGCAAATAATACATTTCCTCCACTAGAAAATGATGGCCTGGACTTAAATCCCAGTTCCACTACTTGCCAGTGATGTGATCTAGGGTAAGTAACCTATCTGTCCCTGGTTCTCCACCTGTAAAATAGGGATAACAATAGTACAGCTTCATTGAGTTGTTGTGAAAGAACATCAATAAAGAACTTAGAATGGTGGCTAAAACATTTCAAGCCCCCAAACAAAGTTGTCCACAGTAGTTTCATAGTAATACTTAAAATAATATATAATTTTAGATCCTACAAAAAACCTTATAACTTACCACATTTGATACTCAAAAAGTAGTCTAAAGCAATTTACTAAATAATTTATCCAAACTTACATAATGTAAAATTATGAAATAGCTATAACAGACAATTGGTACTAATATTTTCAATCTAATGCAAAAAAATAAATATCCTAAAATTCTGACAAAGAACAACATAAGCTTGGGCAAAAAAAAAAACTATCAACAATAAACAAAATAGATGGTAGAATAATAAAACATCTATTGTCTACCTCTTGCTATTGTAACCCTGGAATGAAATGGGGCTATTGCTAACCCTGGTATAAAACATAATGAAGCATTTCAAGGGAATATTAAAAACTTTTGTAATATGACTCATATGGAAGAAAGTACTTTGGGTTCTAATAGGAAGAGTAGTTGAAAAAACAAATTGCAAAATTATATTATATTCATACTGTATATAATCGTGCACATTTCTAATCAATTTGGTATTTTAAATATATTTTCACTTATTTAATTTTTCTTTCTTTCCTTCTTCCACACTTTAATTTCTTCTATATGTATCTGATCCCTAAGTTCTACCCTTTTGAATTCTATTTGTAAGTGGCCATTATCTGCAAACCTGATGACTGGTTCTATAAAATCACTTTTCTACCTGAGCAAAGGGTGCACTCTATGACTGGTACCAGGGTTAGGGCAAAAAGGAAACCCTGGGGAGGTCCCATGAATTTCATTAACACTGATGGCATATCTGGCTCTGGGGACAGCACTGGAATTTCACAGATTTCGAGCCCCACTGCCCACTGTACTTCCCTGTGGGCTTGGTCCCCGGACTGGGGCAGGCAGACAGGGAAGACATCCAGCTACCAGGAAACACCACCTTGTGGGGATTGGAAAAGCCAGATAAAAGCAAGAGAGCTAAAACTCTTGTGATTTAGCACCATGTACTGGAAAATAATAAAATAGACTTCTTTGTATTCATCTGTTAGAGAAGCGCCACTCATACACAGATGCACAAATAGAGAAGAAATCTATCAAATACCATGAATAATCAAGGCAACAAAGCAGCTCAGAAAAAAATAAAAATTTTAATAAAAATACAAACATGGAAATATGTAATATAAATGACAGAGAATTCAAGGCTGCAGTTCTCAAAGAGCTCTACAAATGCAAGAAAATTCAGTCAGACAGTTTAGTGAACTTAAAAAACAAATCAATGCCCTGACTGGCATAGCTCAGTGGGTTGAGCATGGGCTGCGAACCAAAGCATCACAGGTTCAATTCCCAGTCAGGGCACATGCCTGGGTTGCAAGCCATGGCCCCCAGCAACCACACATTGATGTTTCTCTCTCTCTCTCTCTTTCTCCCTCCCTTCCCTCTCTAAAAATAAATAAATAAAATCTTTAAAAAAAGAATATACTTAAAAAAATAAAGTGTAAATTCAGTGAAAAAATATTTTTAAAAAATCAATGAACAAAACAAGTACTTTATCAATAAGACTGAAACTTGAAAAAAGAATCAAACAGAAAATCTGAAGATGAAGAACTCAGTAAAAGAAATTAAAAACAAACTAGCAAGCATAGAAAATAGAGCTGGCCAGATTGAGGAAAGTCTTAGTAATACCAAAGGTAGAAATCTAGAAATGATGCAGAGGGGAAAAAGAGATGTGAACATAAAACAAACAAACAAACAAACAAACAAACAAAAGGCCTCTATGAGACTATGTGACTCCTTCAGAAAGAGCAATATAAGAATACTAGGCATGCCCGGAGAAGAGAGGGAGAAGGGAACACAGAGCCTATTCAAACAAATACTTGATGAGACTCTCCAAACCTATGGAAAGAGCTGTATCCTCAAACCCAAGAAGCAAACAAAATGCTGATTACTTCAATCCAAAGAGGCCTTTTCCAAGGTACATTTTATTAAAACATTAAAAAAATAATGACAATGAAAGAACTCTCAAGGCAGCCATGGAAAAGAAGAAAGTCACCTATAAACAAAAGCCAACCAGGTTATCATCAGACTTCTCAGCAGAAACTCTACAACCTGGAAGAAAGCAGGACCGAATACTCAAACTACTGAAAGAGGGAAATTACCAGCCAAGAATAACATATCCAGCAAAATTACCCTTTAGATATGAGGGAGAAATAAAGACTTTTTCAGACATACAGAAGCTGAGGTAATTTATCAACAGAAGACCCCCACTGCAGGAAATACTCAAGGGGGTTATTCTACCTGACAAAGAATAAAAGGTCACAAAACTACAAATAAGATTGCCCGCAAGCATGCAATATAAACAAGGATAATTTTTGTGACAAAATGGTTAGAGTTAGATGGCTTTTCTTTTTGTTCCTATCAATCCCCTTCTTCCCAACCTAAGCACATGCCTGGATATGAGGAAGCTCATTACCTATAAGGAAAAATGAGCATTTGCTAAATACAACAGAGCAGGAAGCTAGAATAAACCCTGGTCTTTTAAATTTTCCTTAAGAAATTACACAGAAAGACTGCCTACCTCTGAACTTTTTGTTATATAATAAAAAAATAATTCCTGTTTAGTGGGCTTTCTGTTACATGCAGACAAAACACAATCCCAATTGATACCACTGGTTCTTCAGATTATACCCATTTAAAAATACACACACACACACACACACACACACACACAGTTTTATATACATAGATGTGTATACACATGTGATGGATACTGGCCGGCAATATCCATCGCTGCAGATGCTCGTTGAAACACGAGAAAAACATACACATGGACAACCAAGTCCTGTGGAGAAATAGGTACGAAACGGCCACTCTCTCTAGTGGAGAG